CCCCCCCTTCAGTGTGTGTCAGTTTTAATCAAAACCTGTCCAGGTAATTGGACACAATTAGAGGAAAGTGAAAGTTGGAGTAATGTCAGTGAACAAAGCAGCCTCTGTGGCTCCCCTAATACTTTGTGGATATTAAGTCCTGCGAATAAAAACAGAAGAATCAAGGATTATTATTATTTTTAATTCATTCAACCTTTATTTATCCAGGTTAGTCTCACTGAGTCACGAGGACCCATTTACAAGAGAGACCTGATTCAGACAGACAGTAATAAACTACAGTAAACATGCAGTTTAAAACATAATAAAAGTTGAACGAATTGTGTTAATATAGGAGTTGGCATCGAATTATGTCCATAAATATAAATATATTGGGGCGTTTTTAAGAAAAATCATAAAATCTGCACAAGTTTAACGACGCAAAAAAAAAAAGTTGACCCACTTAAGAGCTCTGTTAAAATATATATATGTGTCATCTGCACGAGGAGCCCCCACCCCCTCTGCTAGTTTAAATTTATGGAATGTGATGATCTGTAAAATTTCAAAAAGTCCCCCCCCCCCCCCCACACACACACACACACTCCCCTCTTTAATTCCTCCTTCCTAATTCGCTCTCATTTAACTTTACCTTCCTTCCGCTGTCTTTTCTTATGGAGGGGGTGGAGGAGGGCGTGGAGTGTGGGAGGGCTGTCCGCGAGACAACCCCCCCCCCAACCACCACCACCCCACTTCTTTCCTTCCCCTCTCTCCTCGCTGGTGATGACGTCACGGTAAGCGCGCGGCGGCGCGGCGGGATGCGGCCCGCTGATTGGTCGCCCGTGTCACAGCGGCACTTCAAAGCCGGAGACGAGCCTACAATTGTGGAAGAATGGGCGGAACGCATCATTGTATTGCACACCTCTAAAAACGGGGGGGGGGGGGGGTGGGGAGGAAGAAAGAAGGAAAAAAAAAAAAAAGAAAGAGAGGAGAAAAAACCGGCGCTCTGATTCATAAATATAAAAAGATCCTCGCAGAAGGCCAGTGGTTTTTTGTGGGATGGCAACTTCACTTCTAGGGGTGAGTTTTTTTTTTTCCTTTTTTTTTTTTTTTTTTTTCTTACTGGTTTAATTAGTTCTTGTCATTGTTCGTGCAGGAAGGGGTGGATGGGGGGGGGAGTGGGGGCAGATTAAACTTACAGCCGTCGGAAAGTAAGCAGCAAAGGCTGGTTTTATTTTCAGCAGGCAGTTCGTGCAAAGCAGGAGACGTTTTGAAAAGAATTCACAGAAAGAGGAAACGCGCATGGAGTTCAGTTTGTTTGCGGGGGGGGAAGGGGGTGTTGATTTATAATTGAGTTTCATCTCTTTCTCGTCCAGGTAGGAAGTGGACTTCTCTTCTGTGACTGGTTCAAAACCTTCACGAAAACATGAAATCCGGTTGAAGTGATGTCATGGTGTGATGAACCTGCTCGACTTGTTCCTCTGACATGTTTCTGTCCCTCCAGGAGGAGCCGAGGTTAGGATCGACTCCTTTAGCCATGTTAGCTGCAACATGCAACAAAATAGGGAGTCCGAGCCCTTCACCGTCCACGCTGTCGGAAAACTCGTCATCGTTCGGGAAAGGCTTCCACCCGTGGAAGAGAGCCGCCGCCAGCAGCTGCAGCCTCGGCTCCGGCCTCTCCGGCTTCGGGGTCACGTCCCGCAACGCATCTGGCATCTCGGACTCTTCTTTCGCCTCCGCCAACAACTCCAGCGGATCCAGTGCCTTCTCCCTCACCCCTGGGACCTCACCCGGCTCCCACTTTGGAAACGACTACTCTGTTTTCCAAGCCTCCGTGTCCAACAGCTCGCAGGAGTCCGGCCACCAGCCGGTGTTCATCTCCAAGGTGCACACCTCCGTGGACAGCCTGCAGGGCATCTATCCGAGGATGAGCGTGGCGCATCCGTATGAGTCGTGGTTCAAATCCTCCCATCCGGGCATCCCCGCCGGAGAGGTCGGCACCACCGGCGCGTCTGCGTGGTGGGACGTCGGCGCGGGATGGATCGACGTGCAGAACCCCAACGGAGCCGCGCTGCAGTCGTCCTTACACTCCGGGGGGCTGCAGACCTCTTTACACTCCCCCCTCGGCGGATACAACTCGGACTACTCGAGTTTGAGTCACTCTGCTTTCAGCACGAGCCCCTCTCCGCACCTGTTGACCACCGGCCAGCACCTGATGGACGGATTCAAACCGGTGCTGCCCTCTTATCCGGACACGAGCCCCTCTCCGTTAACTGGAGCGGGCGGGACTATGCTCTCCGGGGGTCCACCTGCGACTTTAGCGGGGTCCCCGAGGTCATCGGCCCGGCGGTACTCCGGCAGAGCCACCTGCGACTGTCCGAACTGCCAGGAGGCGGAGAGACTGGGACCAGCGGGGGCCAGCCTCCGGAGGAAGGGTCTGCACAGCTGCCACATCCCCGGCTGCGGGAAGGTGTACGGGAAAACGTCGCACCTGAAGGCGCACCTGAGGTGGCACACCGGGGAGAGGCCGTTCGTGTGCAACTGGCTCTTCTGCGGCAAGAGGTTCACGCGCTCCGACGAGCTCCAGCGGCATTTACGCACGCACACCGGCGAGAAGCGCTTCGCCTGCCCGGTGTGCAACAAGCGGTTCATGCGCAGCGACCACCTGAGCAAGCACGTTAAGACTCACAGCGCCGGGGGCTCCGCGGGCTCTGGGTCCGGGGGCAGCGGGGGGAAGAGGGGCAGCGACACCGACAGCGAGCACAGCGCGCCCGGATCCCCTCCGTGCCATTCCCCCGACTTGTTGCACCCACCCGAGCCAACCCAGGGGGTGGGCATGAACGGTCTGTAAGAGCCCCCACAGTGAAGAAAACAAACGTTTGGGGGGGGGGGGGGGGGGGGGTAATAGCGAGGACAAACTTTGACCTTTTTATTTCCACGTGTTTAATATGGATCATCACAAATTTTGTCGTTGTGCGTCTGCGGCGTGAAAGTGAAATCAAGTTATTGTGTGACGCACACACACACACACACACACACACACACGTTTTATTTGTTTTCAAGAACCAGACTGGTTTTTATTTCTCCATGAAAGATGCAAAAGACAAAAAGAATAAATAATAATAATAAAATAATAAATCAGATGTGAAATGTTGGGGCCTCCAAAAGTTGCGCCACTGCTGTTCTGAAACCAAACACTGGCACTTTAAGAAGAATCGAGTTTGTGTAGGAACAAACATGTAAACTATATTATGGGATGTAACAAATAGGGACTTTATTTGTCTTCTTCCTTCAGTAAAGGAGCAGCAGAGGTCACGTGTTGCGCCTCGCTCCACAGGAAGTTTCTCTTCAGGCCAGTCGAGGTTTAGCTTCCACTTTGCTGCAGAACATCTTGTACATAAATGTAGGTTAGAAATAATTACAGCCCTCATGTAAAGGTGAGCAATGTATCTGTCCAGGAGACGATTTTTGTATAGGTATTTCTAGTTGTACATGGACTCTAGTGAATATTTGAGTAAAATATGTACTTTTCCTTTGACATAAATGTATTTGTGGGGAGCTCTATTTAACCACGAGGTTATTATTTTTCTTTGTATTTAGGGGGTCTGTCATATTTTAGGCGCACTTTGAATTTATTTGTCTGCTTTGGAAATTGTTTACTGGTTCAGCCTCATTTAATTTAAGTAAAGCATGTTGTAAAGTGATTTTTCTTTCCTTTTTTTTTTTAATTTTCCGATGATATTTCTATTTTTTTCTTCTTCTTCTTCTTTCCCCTCTCGCTGAGAATGGCTTTTTATGTGAGCCACTCAATAAATGAATTCAGAAACAGAATGATCGACTCAGGTTTTATTTTCGTGTTGAGTCGATAACATTTATCCCAAAATGTTGATTTATTTTATTATCTGACGGAATGAAAATGGAAATGATTGCTGTGTAATCAGCTGCGGTTTCTGGTCAGAAGAGAAGGTCTTTTGTGGTTTGATTTTAGCTCAAAAACTATTTTAAAAACGGCTTTATTCAATAAAAATTCAATAATGCAATTTATAACCCGTTTCTTAAATATAAAGCCTATTAATAGGTGATAAATGAACTAAATATTTAACATTTGTCCTTTTTTTTCTGTTGAACACCTCAAAAGCCTCGTGCGTTAAAAGATGGAGAAAATTATTATCCTTTAATTTGACTAAGTATCTTGCATTCTGAACATATTTTAAGGAAAAATATGTTGCATAAAAATTGTTTTATTTCTTTCTTTCCTTTATTTATTTAAATGTTTAAGTAAAAATACATCCGTTAGTGTTCAGGCACTTTGGGGGTAGTTTCAAATTTGTTTAATTGATGATGACACAGAAAGTTTAGTGTCCAAAAATTAAAAATATATATCATTCATGTCTGTTTATTGATTTTGTTTCAAGGTGTTTTTTGTGCTATCTGTATTAAATTGGAAAGGTGTGGTTATATTTGCTTTATTCTTAGCTCAAGATTTTTTTTTTATTTAATTTTAAAATAATCTTTAAAAATATATAAAAATCATGCCAAGTGTAAATGTAAAATTTTAAGGAGCAAAATGAATGTGTATTATTGTACAACATTCGTTTAACAGTTTAGGTTTATTGTGATCCAATTTATCCTCTGCTCAACGTTGACTTCAGTTTGCAAATCATCCAAAAACTCACTTTAGCTTGACAGTTATGAGCTTGATTTAAGAAAGTCTATTTATTTATTTTACTTTTTTTTTTCAGTACAGTTATGTAATGAGTACTTTTTGAGTTAAGTGTCAAAATGTCAAAGTTGATCTAACGGTTAAACTTTCAAAATTATCTTAAAATTCTACGAAGTGATGATGATAATAACAATAATAATAATAATAATAATAATGAAAAAGTTCAGACTTCTGTGAGTAACGTGTTTTATTCTGCGATGAGAAAACAGAAATGTTCCAACTTCTCTTCAGCGCCTCTGCAGGTTCAGCTCTGCAGCGCCCCCTGGCGGTAGATCCGCTCAACACGCGAATAAAAACTAATCCGGATCCGTCACGAGCAACTTGTTGTTTGAGGTTCTTGATTTAGATGTAACTAAATAAAGCGAGTGTTTTCAGAGGGACATCATGCAAAACAAGACAAAAAGTTTGGATTTCAGCAAATACAGCCAAATAAACGAACATAATGTTGAACACAATATATCAAAATCAGAATATATGAGGGAAACAGAAAGCAGTATTTATAGCAGCTGTATCTCTGAAGTAATAAACTTAAGAAACGTTCAGGCACCAGTGTTTCTCAGTAAAAGAGCACTTTTACTAAAAGAGGTGAGGATTTTGTTACAACCTGCACAAACTGCAGCATCTGTTAAGAAAACATATTATCTACTTTCTTTCTCTTCCACTCAATTGTAAGTTTTGACAAATGCACACAAGCATGTGCAGAACATGCTCTGCTGTTTACATCACCAAAAACACATCTTCAGAAAAGTTCAGCTCAAATGTACTTTCCTTGCATTAAACTTTAAAGTGCATGAAAAATGATTGACAGGAGGCCGCATCCTATTCATTTTAATGGGAATCTGTAAAGCACATCCTCAAGAACTTTTCATTTGAACTTGTGCTTAAACTAAAACCGGCAAAGTATAAAATATTTTCAGGACAAAACTTATATAGTTGTCATGTTTGCTGTAACGTGCCACAAGTTGAAACGATGTTTATTTTGCCATCAATTCGAACAAACAGCAAAATGTGATGAGACCAGATCTGTGATTAAAATCTTCTCTGCACATGTTGGTGTGGTCAGTGCTTCTGTTCATTTATGAACTTAGCTTAAAAAAAATACAATTTCATGACAAAATGAAGGAAATATTAAAGAAAAAAATCAACAAAATCCAGTTGAAATAATTAAACTAAATCCAAGCTGATGACAGTTTTGTTTCACCAGTTCAATTTTTAAAATGCTCTTTATTTGCTCTGAAGCGTTGTGTCACCGTTGTGTTATTATCACCTCCACAGACTGTCGTGGTGTCACTCGGCACACTGCAGGCCTCATTCAAACGAATTCTGGCCTCAGGAAGCGCTCACATGGCAGGATGAAGAGGAAGGGCAGCCAACTGAGGATGAAGGCTACAATAAAAGGCGCAGAGCTTTGATCCAGTTTCCAGGAACAGAGCAGGAACAATAATGTGCCAAACGTGTGCGATCGCTCCGAGAGCAAACTTGATCTGAATCAGTCTTTGCAGATATTTCATGTCAGAGCCAGCAGCTACTGATCTGTGTGCAGTTTTTTTTTAATGCATCAGTAAATCACAGTATTGTTGCAACACCTCCCACTGATGATGCATCTGTGGCCAATGTTGTGGTTAGAAGCCACAGTGCAACTGTCATCAACCCAAGAGGTCTCGAGGAAAAGCAAGTTGGAGACAATCCAGAGGTTGGTCGACATCATGAAGTCTTTTCTTCAAGCATCGTTTGAGCAATTAAATATTAAGAGCGCAGGTTGAGATTTACTTATTTTATCAGTGAGCAATAGATGTTACATCTGCGTGAAAAGCTTGTCAGTTTTTTTTCCTGTTAGAGCATGACGCAGTAAAACAAATCAGTTCAACTCAAAGTGAGCAAATAAAACACAGATTATACAAAGGAAGGCAGACTCGAGACGAGGACGTCAAAAATAAACATCGATTTATTAAAGAACAATCAAAATGTTGAGGACACAGTAAAAAAACTTACAAGGAGGGTTACCAGGAACAGGACAGACATGAAAATATTAACTCTGACTCGTGGAGCCGATGACGCTCAGGTGAGATGTGGAGAACAGACTGAACACATATAACAAGTGGAAACACCTGAGCTGAGAGGAGGTCTGGAACAGGTGGGAGTGGGCGTGGCAGGCTGACTGGAAAATAACTGAGGGACTGACAGAGGGTGAATGAACACAGGGGAGAAAGACTGATCAGCTGATCAACATCTGAACTAATGACACAAAGATAACGTGATAATATAAAAAGACAAGTAACACAACTTTAAACACAAGAAGCCCAGAACACAAAAAGAGAACACATTTGAAAACGAACTCAACGAACCATCAATACGTGACTAAAATACTCAGATCATGACACACAATGTGGTTCAATGAGGGACGGAGCTGAGAGTAAGATAAGGTGGATGAATTATTTCTGTATGCAATACATAAATAAAAAGGCCCATCTGTATAATACAACCATTAATGTAGATAAATGATGAGTTTGGTAAATAAATAAACAAATAAATGAATGAAAGTGTAGATGGAGTTTCGAGTCCCTTGCTGCGGATCAATAAAGTGCTATCTTATCTTATTTATTAACCTTTATTTACTCAGGCAAACCACACTGAGATTAAAAATCTGTTTTGTAAAGGAGGCCATGGACTGAGCACATGCATGTTCTTAGATTGTAGGAGGAAACCAGAGTACCCAGAGAAAACCCACGCATGCACAGAGAGAACATGCAAACCACACAGAAAAAGTTCAGGTCAAAACTGGGATTGAACCCAGAACCTTCTTGCTGTGAGGCAACAATGCTAACCACTAATCCACAGTGCTGCAATCTATATTATCGTGATTTAACCATTTTTTAATCTAAATATTCTGTCACATTTTAATTCAATATATGGAGACAGCTTGATTAAGAACTGTTTGAACTGATAAAATAATTCAACACAGTCAGCTCAATCACGAGTAGAAATGTCTGACTCGATGAATAAAAGACAAATGGCGCCATCATGCGGTACAGAGAGGTAAGACACGCTGTTTCATTCTGACTCGACTTCTGTGTAATATAAGTGTAGTCAAATAAGAACAGCAGTATTTAGGATGGTAAAAACATAAC